AACCGTGACGTCACCTGATATGCCAGCTTCACAGCTGGCCGTAGCAGTAGTCAAAACATGGAGAGAATCAATGTGTGTGTGAGTGTTGATTATGTGGTGTGTATCTAAAAACATACAGGACATGTTCAGGGACATGTCCGGACATTAAGCCTCGGAAGATATTATGATTAAGATTACGGCTAAACATATCATAATAATAGCAATAACTTCCTGCCTGCAGACTCTCTCTATTTAGTTGACCTTGGCCTATATGCAGCCTGCAAAAAGCTCATAAGAATGACTAAGCATTTAACAGCCTAAGCTAGACAGCCTGGCTCCACTAAACATTCCTAATAAAACAAGTATCTAATCAATATCTATCTGACTAAGAAATTACCTAACACCCCCATCAGTGGATTGAACGACTACAGACCTGTCACCCCTGACATCTGGAGTTATGAAGTCCTTTGAAAGACTGGTGCTGACCCACCTGAAGGACATCGTTGACCCCCTGCTGGACCCCCTGCAGTTTGCCTACAGGTCAGTGGACAATGCAGTGAACATGGCACTGCATTACATCCTGCAACACCCCCTCTCCCCAGGGACGTATGCATGGGCCCTCTTTGTGGACTTCAGCTTGGCATTTAACACCATCATCCCGGACATCCTCCACTCCAACCTGACCCAGCTCACTGTGCCTGCCCCCACCTGTCAGTGGATAACTAGCTTTCTGACAGACAGGGAGCAGCAGGTGAGGATGGGGAAAACCACATCCAGCACCCGGACAATAAGCACAGGTGCCCCCCAGGGATGTGTGCTCTGACGAGTCAGCCTACAGATGAGAGGTTGAGCAGCTGGTCCTGTGGTGTAGCTGCAACAACCTGGAGCTGAACATGCTCAAAACAGCGAAGATGACAGTGGACTTCAGGAAGAGCCCTCCCACCTTACCCCCACTTACCATACTTGGCAGCAATGTATCAGCAGTAAAGTCCTACAAGTTCCTGGGCTCCACTATCTCCCAGGACCAGAAGTGGACGTCCAACATCAGGACCATCATCAAAAAGGCACAGCAGAGGATGTACTTCCTGCGCCAGCTCAGGAAGTTCGACCTGCCCCAGGAGCTGCTGATACAGTTCTACAGAGGAATCATTGAGTCTGTTCTCTGCACCTCCATCACTGTCTGGTTTGGCTCAGCAACCAA